AGTCAACCAATCCGAATGTTTTATTCACTGATTACTTTACTCTGATTGGTTGTCGTAATCACTTACAACCACTTACAACCACGTTCACGCAATTGTAGAATAGGCTTAAATCTAGACCAATTACAATGGCTGCGTTCAGCAGAGAAAGCTGCTTTGCAACTATTGTAAAATTCGTGAATCTAATTGGAGCATGCTCTTAATTTTGGTTGTTTTTCCGTAAGAGCTAGAAGATTATTACTGAAAGCAGCATATTGATTAGCTGTCGCGCGAACTTCCGCCGCGCGGCAAGCATTACCGCGTCCTGTGTGCAGGAGCCATTAAGGGACGTCTACATTGGAAGTAAACAGTAAGAAATAGGAAATAAGAATAAGAAATTGACCAATCATAGTTGATTATTTTTCTCACATTCGACTGTGGTTGGTCAATTTCTTACTCTTACTTCCTACTTCTTACTACTTACTTCCAATGTAGACGTCCCTTTAGTCTATGGGCGCGTCTAACAACCGCTACAAATGCTGTATAGCATTTTTCCCTCTTGTTCTATTCCTCGGATTCGAATGAAGAAAAAGAAAGAAATAAAAACGCTACAAAGCATTTGCAGCGCTCGCTGGACCGTATCATGTATGTAATACTACTATATTACATATACTACCCTTATCATATATGGAATATATATATGTAATACTACTATATTGCTAAAGGAGAGAGAAGTCCGGCTCCAAACCACGGTGCGGGAATCATAGACTTATATAGATAGATAGACCGGCCCTTGCCGTAAGAGATAGCGTGGCAACATCTACGGTGCAGACATAGCCACCTGGGTAGATCTGTCCTTTTTTTTTAGTTGCTTGGTGGGGACTAATAGCGAATGAAACACATACACTCGTCATCAATGGATGAAGACAGAATAACGTATAATAGTGTACATACATAAAGAAATACACATTAATTAACTTAGTATAACTATTATCTTATTATAATAGATTACTTACTTTATAAAATTTCTCCTTCACAATAAAAGTGCTTTCTACCCCTCATTCTATGCATTCCCCTCATTTGATTTCATCCCCACTATTCCTACTTTAGAGTAGGACAGATCTACCCAGATGGCTATGTCTGCATCGTAAATGTTGCCACGCTATCTCCTACGATAGGGGCCGGTCTATCTAGTCTATGGCGGGAATGTATATTTCTCTCTCTTTCTGAGTGTATTATGAACGTTATGCGCATGCGTCAGATAGATCATATCCGCCAATGGAAAAATAAAATATATTGTACAAAGTTGCATGTAATAGGTTATATATACCATATACTATAAACATAAGCACCCAGAAATGCTATTTATGCGAAAAAAAAAGTAGCTGTAAATGAAAATATCAGTTTACACAGGTAAGGAAATAGTTATCCAGGTTAGATATATGTCACGTACTGGCACTTTTACTATACACGGTGGGCCATTTTAATCTCCCCACCTGAATTTCTCGTAATCTAAGTCAGATAGAGAAAAATGGTCCAGACAAAAGTAGAAGGGGACAGAGGGGGTCACGTAATGGTACCAAGGACCTTGACCTTGAACTCGATTTTCAAGGTTATTTCAAGGTCAAAGTGATTTTTTTAAATGGGAACACCTATTTTTGACCCCGGATTTGAAAAGAGCGGGAAATTTTACGTTCAAAATGATATGTTAATCAAGGTCATGGCAAGGTCGAATGAAGGTCAAGTTTGCGAATTTTGATTTCCCAATTGAATATATCGGAACCTAAGCCAAATACGTAAAATTGGTTCAGACAAATGTTAAAGGGGGCCGAGAGGGTCACCTATCTGTACTCTGATCTTGACCTTGAACTCGATTTTCAAGGCTGCTGATATGAGGATCAAGGTGAACGATTGCAAGAACAGTCAGAACACGAGCATCATTTTCGTCGTATTCGTGGCGCCTGCGATGGCGAACCATATGTCCACCACGAGCTCTTTCAGTTAATGTACTTATTGTCCTATGATCTGGGTGTCGTCTATTTGGAAAGCGTTCAGCGTAAAGTCTTGCTGCAGCACGATAATTATTATGACTTTCGCCTAACACCATTATCATATCAACAATGTCATCGGGCTGATAGTCAGCCATTTTTAGAGCTGTTCTTCACCTTAACAAATTGTAGATAATGCAATGTTAATCAAAATTTTACAAACTATAAAAAAAGAAGAATTTTTCACGGAATTTTTCTACATTTTTAATGAAATATTATCGAAATATTAATGAACTTATAATGAAATTTTAATGAAATTAGCTCAAAATTGTGAATGCTTTTCAAAAGCATTTCAACAAAAGTTCATTATATTTTCAATAAATTATTTTCATTAGATACAAATATCTCAATTGAGATCTTACATGCGAATTTTTGCGGAAACCGCATTTGAGAATTCAATTGAGAATTCAACTGAAAATTGATTTGGGAATTCTATTGATATCTCAACAGAAATTTTTCAGTAGGGTTGCGCACCATCGAAACGGTACGACTTCGCTAAAAAATAAGTAGTTCGGAAAAAAAATCCTAGGGAAATGTACGAAATGCTTATCTTATATTATAAATGCTTATATTATAAATGTACGAATAGTTATCTTTGTTCTTATTGGTCAATTAAATGCTACTCTACCCGTCGAATAGAGTTTTGGAACGCAGTCTGAAATTATCACATATGTTTCGCACCCTTAGGGTGCTATTTCACGTGTCGTACGATAAGCTTTTCGGATACGTTTATTGGTTGGCGAATAGAGTATTTCTAGGTTCTCTGCTCGTCAACCAATGAACGTATCCAAAAAGCTTGTCGTACGACAGGTGAAATATTAGCCTTATGGCTGGTGCACACAGGACACGGTAATGCTTGCCGCGCGGCGCAAGTTTGCGCGACAGCCAATCAATATGCTGCTTTCCCTAATAACCTTTTAGCTCTTAAGGAAAAACAACATATTGATTGGCTGTCGCGCGGATTTCCGCCGCGCGGCAAGCATTACCGCGTCCTGTGTGCAGAAGCCATAAGGACTTTTCCCAATTTTGATATTATTTTGCTGCAATCTCTCTCTCTCTCTCTCTCTCTTGATAAATATCTTTGTTGTTATTCCAACAGTGATAATCAAATGGGGGAGCCTGAAAAATATGTAAACTATTTATGTTTTTAACTATTTTTTCTAATATATGCCTGTACGTAGAATATCGTATCCCTTAAGGTTTAAGATTGAAATTGCAACAAAGTACTGAAAAGATTAGAACATTTATTTATTAGTAACAAACACTATTTTATTGGTAATATAAAAAAATAATTTTTACAAAAATAAACCTTGAATTTTTGTTTAAATTGGAAACCGGGTTTTCAAATTGTACATTGAGTTTTTAAATCGTATTTCAAAGATATGCAGTCATAAACAATAAAAAAGTATTAATTAATTATTAATTAATCCTATATTACATTAATATAACAATAAAGCAAAACAAAAATAAAAGTATGCAAGTAATGTTACTAGTGTCATTTATTTTGCTACATAACATAAATATTGCTTTAACAACATGTTTCAACAACATTTTTAACCGGTTTAGCTAATTCTTTTATCATGAATCATGCCTGTTTCATTTATCACCACGGTTCCTTCGTCATCGCAGTTTAATTTGTTATTGAGCGCAATGATTTTTAAACCTGAAGGTTTTACCCTTATAGAAATATCATACTAAGAATCATTGATAATTACTTATTATCCAGTATTTTTAATACTAAAAATAAGTAATTATCAATGATTCTTAGTATGATATTTCTATAAGGGTAGCCGTCGCTCGTTGTTTGTTAAAAAGCAAAACAAAAATAAAAGTATGCAAGTAATGTTACTAGTGTCATTTATTTTGCTACATAACATAAATATTGCTTTAACAACATGTTTCAACAACATTTTTAACCGGTTTAGCTAATTCTTTTATCATGAATCATGCCTGTTTCATTTATCACCACGGTTCCTTCGTCATCGCAGTTTAATTTGTTATTGAGCGCAATGATTTTTAAACCTGAAGGTTTTACCCTTATAGAAATATCATACTAAGAATCATTAAAAAGCTCATAAAAGAATCATTAAAAATCTTTAAAAAGTTATTAACAAAAAAAGTTGTATAAATGTAACTTAATTTTTCAAAATGTAAATTTTTCAAGACGTAATTTTTCAAGTTCAATAAAATATATATTTTTTTTTTCACTTTTGAAATTCTCCCTCTTTAGCTTAAGTACAACAGACTTGTCTCCATCCCGCCGCGGTGCGGGGGGCATAGCCCAGTTACACGGCTAGAGACAGGCATCCTTTTTATTAATATCTCGGAAACACTATAAGCGACCGCCATATAGCTATGGCTGCGTTCACTTTGGGCTCTTATGTGCTGTAAGCATCATTCTATCTTCTTCCCGTATATAATGAGTGATAAAGATAAAATGACGCTTACAGCGCGTAAGCATCCATAGCGAACGCAGCTTATGTTTATATTATTGAAATATGGTAAAAAATATAAAAGGTGCCTGCCCCTAGCCGTGTAACTGGGGGCTACGCCTCCCAAACCGTCCGCACCGCGGTGAAGAGGAGGGGGCGCAAGTCTATTATACCTTAGCTAAAGTTACTTAACTTAAAGTTTAATAATCGCAAATTGAAATGAAGGTGCCACAAATCCCGAAAAGCTACGTAGGAAAAAATAATTAAAAACATTGAAAGGTTACGTACTTTTCGACTTCCCCACTTGATTATCAATGTTGGAATAACAACAAAGATATTTATCAAGATTGCAGCAAAAAAATATCAAAATTCCGAAAAGTCCTTATTCTACATATTTACCATAATTTTGAAGATTTTAACAACATTAAACTTTTTAAGTTCTGGGTTTAGTGATTTCACTTTCCGCACCTCTAGATACGTAATCATTGTGATTCGTGAAAAAGTTCACGCGGAATTAGAATGAGTGAAAAGTGAAAAGCTTCGCTCAAAGTTACGTCAACAATCAATCTAGGAGATTGATTGTGTATTAATGCAACTGATTATTGAAAATAAACAGTTATTGAAAATAACTTATTGAAAATTTAATGAAAATTGCGAACAAGTTCCCTTAGTGTTGACCAATGAAATTGTAAATATTCTAGTAAATTCGTTCTTTTTTTGTAATTTTCACCAAGCTTTGTTAGTACAAAATTGACCCCTAGTACGAAAACAAGTATTGTGTGCCGTTAGCTTAATGCCTTGTGTCCACGATGCTAAAAATCCGAGATCTAGATCCGAGAAAAAGGCAACCAATCCATTTGCAGCTCTTACGAAAAGGCGACAATTTTATTGGTACACGTTTCTCCGATCGAAATCTCGGACAGATTTCTAGCATCGTGGATACAGGGCTTAAGGCCTAGGCCTCTGAACTGAAGCAATAAGTTGTAGGGTGGCAAAATAGATTTGTCTCACTCTATCTTGTGCTATTGTACTAGTCTCACTCTCCTATTGTACTAGTATCAGTATGCATCAGTTTAGTGCATTCAGAAAGTTCTTCGAAAAAGAATAGGGGAGAGAGCGAATATAAAAAGAGGAAACGGCAGAAAACTAGGCAGTCTGCAGTTGCTAGCAGATAGTGCTGCGTTAACGGCTCTTCGAGTCCTGCTTTCGAGTCGTGCTTTCGTGTCATTACGTGACATATTGATATGGAGTTTCCAATTCTGACAATTCATCAAAAGAGATATGGTAGAAAACGAAAGAATCGTTCGACCTCCGCCGGTCGGCAGAAACAATCGTGGCGCGAGACACGAATCTATTTGCCTTTCAAACACGGCGCTGAGTGGCGCTGTAAAATCACGTGGGGGCCACCCACGTTTCGGATTGTGGGTAAACAAGAAGAAGAAAATATTTGTGCGCGTGGATCCAGTTGAAGGTACGTCTGCCGTGCTCGCCTTGTCGGCAAAGTTGTCGTTGTCGTCGTAACCGCTGCCGTTTCGCCGTTTACTCGCGGTGGTCATAAAACGGATACGGGGAAGAAGCAGGAGAACGATTACTAGATCTCAACCGTCCTCGACCGCGGAAACAGGAACGAACTTAGAGAAGGTGGCTCGATACTGCTTTAACTTAAGGAGAAAGATAACGCGCACGGTGTACGCGGTGATACCCGTATATGTGTATAGCGTAACGAGAGAGCGCGGTGCGCGCGTGTATATGTCGCACAACACACACACGAACGTGCAGCAGTGACGAGGAGAAGAGACACGCGCCGGGGTGGTGCGGAGAAAGGAGAGTTCGAGAAAAAGCCGGCCATATTCCGCGCGAGTATACGCATCGCGTGTTCATACGCTCCTCGCGCGTACGTGTAACCCTCGTGTTGCCTCGCCTTGCTGTACGGAGCATCTTTTTTCTCAACGTTCCAACGAATTTCTTTCCCTCTCGATTTCTTTTCCTCCTCACACACGTCTCTCTTTCTCTCTCTCTCTCTCTCTTTCTTTCTTTCTCTCTCTCTCCCCCTCTTTCCCCCCGAGTCTCTCTCTTCTCTCCGCCGCTCTCTTTTTCTCTTTCTCTTTTCTGCCTCCTTTCCTTCCTCCTTTATCACCATCTTTCTCCGTCTCGCTTTAATTTTGATACGCGTGTTGTCTCGATTTTCATTCTCGTCTTCGCATATCGTACTGTTTGCATTGCCCGTATCTTTACCGGTTTCTCTCGCTTACACTCTCCGCTCTTCGCGTATCTACTTATCTAGTATATCTAGCTGAACGTTCGTGTTATTTATCTCACTTAGCGGCTATCTATCCGCCTCTCTGTCTCACTTCATCTCGCGCGCACTCTCTCTTTCTCACGTACATTCTCTCTCTCTCTCTCTCTCTCTCTCTCTCTCTCTTTCTTTCTCTCTGTCTGTCTCTGTCCGATTCGATATCCCTCTTTTCCCCCTCGCGCTGCTCTCAACCACACTACGGCTCATTCGCTCTCGGTGCTATGTCTACGTACTCTCGTACCCAGGAGAGCGACGCGTGGGCTCTTCTGGCATTGAAGTCGGCGCCGGCCAGTCCGACGAAGATGCAGTGGAATCCAGAGTCCAAGGGTGCCCCGATCGCACGTCTCGAGGGCCGCGAGTTCGAGTATATGGTTAGGCAACGGCGCATCACGATCGGCCGCAACAGCAGCAAGGGTGAGGTCGACGTCAACATGGGCCACTCCAGTTTTATCTCACGACGGCACCTCGAGATCTACTACGAACATCCATCCTTCTACATGGTGTGCAACGGCAAGAACGGCGTGTTCATCGACGGGGTGTTCCAGCGTAAGGGCGCGTCGCCTTTTCAACTGCCAAAGACGTGAGTTGCACGGCGTGTACCATACCGGCCAGATTTTCCTACGTCCTCCACGTTGTCGCGTCGTGAGTTTACGGGCTGAGCGATACCGCGAACGCGCGGCCGGCACATTGTAAATCGGAGCTGTTAGTCTTAGGTAAATCTAATGAGAACATTTGCCAAGCATAGGATTGCGTATTGTAGCCGCAATTTGCACGCAATGCAACTACTGAGGTGGTAAGGTCAAATGCTAAAAAGTACAACCTCTCAAAAATTATTTTCGTAGAAAAATTACATAGAGTATGATAGACAAATGAGGCAAGATCATTTTATATTGCTCTGTCTCAGCGATCATGAAAATGTGCCTGTACTGATTCAAGAAAAGATACTTATCAATACTAATTCTATATGTATGCATGTGTATATATATGTATATATACATATATACATATATATATATATGTACATATATATATATGTATGAGTATATGTATGTATAAATAAATAAATATATATATGTATATATGTGTATGCACACAAAATGTATATGTAGACATACATATATATCAATAGAATCATGAGTATGTAATCTTATGAAATATGTGAAACACTATAGTGAAGTATGATATAATAAGTATTGTTCACAGTTGTATTGTACTAGAGTATGCCGTCATATGAGAATCTTTCCGAGGAGAGTTTTACCAGAGTTTCCTTAATTTTGCAGATGCACGTTCCGATTTCCAAGTACAACGATCAGGCTGGTGTTTCAGTCGTTGCTGGACGAACAGGAGCAGAGCAATATACGTGTACCTTCCCCACCTAAACAGCGCATACCGTTGCCGCCGTTGCGCATAAACATACCGGATGCCGGGTACAGTAGTCCATTCCCGTCGCCGACGGGCACGATCAGCGCTGCAAACTCTTGTCCAGCGAGTCCACGCGCTGGACAAGGACGAAGGAACATCTCGGCCGATCTGCAGATGGTGGCCGCCGCGGTGGCGTATGATCCTCAGAATTCCACCTTGGAGAGGCACGACGGCGGACAAAGTTCCAGTAGACAGATCAGCCCGGAGCCGGGCGCCGAACCGCGTTACCGTGGCGGAAACAGCTCGGGACCGAACGGCACTGCGCCGCACTACAGCCCGCCGAAAGACGATTCTAAGCCGCCATATTCGTACGCGCAACTGATCGTACAGGCGATCGCATCCGCGCCGGACAAGCAGCTCACGTTGTCCGGCATCTACTCCTACATCACCAAGAACTATCCGTATTATAGGACCGCGGACAAGGGCTGGCAGAACTCGATCCGACACAATCTCTCCTTGAACCGTTACTTCATCAAGGTGCCGAGAAGTCAAGAGGAACCGGGCAAAGGTTCCTTCTGGAGGATAGATCCCCAGTCGGAGGCTAAGCTGATTGAGCAGGCCTTTCGACGTAGGCGGCAACGTGGCGTGCCCTGCTTTCGCGCTCCGTTCGGATTATCCTCGAGGTAACTTGACAATCGCTTTTCCAAGTTTCTGCTTCATCTGTATCGCTTTGCATCGATATGCCGGGTATCGATACACGGAGATAGAGATATATTATTGTGTAGCTATACTTTATTTCACCGTGTAATATGATGAACAGAAGCGCGCCTGCATCGCCATCTCACGTGGGCATCAGCGGCTTAATGACGCCCGAGTCGCTTAGTAGAGAGGCATCACCTGGGCCGGAACCGTATCCGGACAGTTCTGTTCCTTCCCCGGCGGGGCAACTTACGACGAGCCAATCAGCACCCGGATCACCAGGTCATCCCTATACATCAACTTCCCAGTCGAGCCACAAGGGACGTCTGATGCAACAAGTCACCGTTGTAACAAACGGTGTTAACAGTGACGCTGGAAGAGAAGGTGAGATTGACAAAGAGTTAATGTTAAAATCCATGACATGTTTCTGGGACCTGTTGCCCGAAACTCGATAAGCTACATAAAATAAATAGAAAAGAGACAAATTGCGAAGCTTTTTTTTACTCTTTACCATTATTAACACGTTGACTGCCGCACTTAGTGGCTTGTACGAGCCTGCTTGCTTGGTCGTCCAGTGCAGCGAAGTGGTCGACAAATTTTGCTCGGCAGTCAACGTGTTAACTATTGACACAAGGGAAAAAACGTGAGACACTGTCATGCCCGCAATGCTATTTCGCATGTGAGAGATATCTTACGGTTCGTTTCCTGCGACAGAGAAATACTTGGTGCCAGGAAACGCTGTAGAGGACCATTCTTTGTCACCGGCTGGTCAATACAGTCCGGCTCCTGTTATTGTACAAACGACATATAATTACAGGTACGATTTACATGCTCGTACAAATTCTTAGAGCTTGCATTCTTAGACTGGCGCGAGTCTAAGACTATTGCGCGAGTCTAGTCGTGCTATATGTGTCGTATTTATACGCTTTTCACATAGTTCTTTCCTTAGTAATAGTGGAACTTTTATCGGCCCTGACGCTGGCGTCGGGGTGAACAAACGCGCGCATGAGGAGTCTGACAGTTCGCCGGATTCACCGGCTCCACTCGCAATTGTTGAGAGTCCCGAGCCCCCCGAGCAGCAGCAGCAGCAGCAACCGAAACGTCAACGTATTCATGAAATGGACGATCACTGAACTAACATACTTAGCATCCTGTTGCGTAGGACATTACGTTACATTGCATTATTTTTGCCTATCGTCGAACACACCGCAAACTTCATCTTATTTTAACTGCATAACTGCTTTAGACTGCACATAGTAATTGAGATTGGGCATCGGTTAGCATCTCGCTTTACGAAGTGAGGAACTTTGTGTGTGCGTGTGTATATGAGTTGCGCAGAAGAAATCTATTATTGATAGAAAGATGGCGAAAATAAGAATGTTTTTTCTTATATATTTTCAGAAGTTACATTTTGATTTAACATTATTTTCATCGGAAGTCTATATAAAATTATGAGCACTTCATTAAATGCTTTCTCTTTACGATTCGTTAACTCAGGCACAGTGAAGGTACGATACATACATGTATATGTATATTTGTATATGCTATGTATGTGTGTAACATCACATTTATGTATGTATAATATACATATATATGTAGCTTATCTGCTCGATGGTCGTTAAAATAGCAAGGAATTGTGCTGACACATCGAATTGCAATAATGTGATGCGGTAACGTGTGCCATTCAGCGTTTTAGCAGAGTTCATAAGTGGGCAAAAGGCAGGTAAAAGAGAGGAGAGAAAATGTAATCCAATGTAATTCGATCACAAGTAGCGAAGGATTGAATTATTTACAATTAATATCACTGACCGACATTCATTTCATCTGTACGATTCCTTTCTGTTTTTGTAATACTGCTTGCACCAATTTGGCGCGGTCATTATGCAACATAACGAAAAATTAATAATATGAGAAATGGTAAAAAAAGGAGGAAGAAAGAGAGAGAAAGACATCGTGAATATATATTCACGAGAGGAAAAAAAAATATATAAATATATTATTACAATTAGTGTTCTTAATTTAATACGCTCAATCGAATGTTCCATTTCAAGATGAAATAAGACACGGAAGTTTTAGACTATCAATATAGGGGAGAAAGAGAGATGACACTCTGAAATATTCGGTGTTGTATTCCGAGTGGAGCGAGATGAATAAAGAGAATTTAAAGAAGAAGGAGCATTTAGGAAATGATGAGCTTTCGAAATGTTGATATGGTCTCTGTTGAAGAGATTGTTACCAGGGCCAGAGGAAACAAATAGAGCCTTATAATGTTTTACATATAATTAGCATAAGGAGTGACTGGGTTCTACGAGTTGTATAATGGAATATCAACTCGAGCTGGTTGAGCGGCTGCACACAGGCACACATTGTATAACATAAAATTTCCCAGGGAATAATCGCATCGAATACACAACAATGCGTCGCAGTCGACAGGATTTTCAAATTCCACTGAGAATTTCCGGACAATTTCTCGTCATCCCGAGAGTCATTTGATCGACGATCTTACGTTGAATATACGGGATGGTTCACCTAATTTTATCATCTAAAACAGTCTTCTTATTTTTAACGTTAGAAGAAACTGTTTCAGATAACGAGTTGTAAATTTGCGTAATATTTTGAAATGTACGTTTTGAATAATGTCGCTAATGATGATAATGATGATGATTGTGATGGTGATGATGACAGTGATGATGATAATGATGATAATGATGATGAAGAAGAAAATGATGATGACGACGCTAAGTCCGACGACTGATTTCTCTCGATCGGTTCGCTCTGTTTGTGCAATCTTAGTTAATTATGAACTTCTTAGAAAATCGGCGTTCAAAAGGCAAAAAAAAAAAAAAAAAAAAAAAAAAAAAAAAAAAAAAAAAAGAAAAAAAGGAAAACGAATACGTAGTGAATAGCATTTATGGGGGCGGTGTCTCGATATAATATAGTTGCGTTTACAAATCGCGATAGAGTTTTGCGCGGTGCGGTAAAACGAGATTTATTTTCGTGCATCTTTCGCGCGAAGATGTGTACGACGATGTGTTTATCTGAAACGTTATTTTTCTATAGTTGGAAATACACGAGCACTATGGAGAGAGGTTTTGGATGATACAAGGTAGATGGACTACGCTGTACAGTGTTGACACATACGTATCACAACGGCGGACGTATGTTTACTATTATACATATACGTACATACGTGTGGAGAGAGAGAAAGAGAGAGAGATATATATACATATATGTATACACATGTATTAAATGTGCATGTGTGTCGTGGAGAGGCCGTCGTGTCGCAAGCACATGTGCGTATATATTACACACACCACCCTCGTTCGCGTAATATTCGTACGCATGTATGTGTGCATATGTATAATATCGCAATAAAATTAATTAATTACTACATTATAAATGCTTCCTTTCGTTCCGATGTTTTTCCTTCATTCATCATCAAGGCCTGCCCCTCTCCCACTTCCTTCTTCCCGTATACTCCCTCTCTGCAACGTGTCATTTGACTTTTGTAAACAGAGATTCGTATTCATAGTGCGATACGTCGACGAGGCCAAATCCCGACGTTGCATTCACGCGAGAATGGTCCACGTTCGTTCGTGACATGACGAAAGCGCGTGGACTGACGTGAAATTCCTTCTCACGTGTCCGTGTATGCCGTATATGCCGGAAATGAATCTCACGCGAGAACTGTACCGGTCTCGGCTTGTGCGTAATAAATCCGCACCGGCTGTGACACGTATGCTCTTTAATATTTCGTGCCGCAAATAATCGCGTGACGTCCGTTTATTTTTAAATTGCGCGTTACGCAAACTCAAGTTGCACGTCTTACCGTTAGGTGTCGCCATCGTCGCTGCCGAGTCACTTCGCGTCGCGGGAGCGGTGATTGATGACGAAGAGACAAAAGAGGAAGATGAATGTTTTTATTCGCGCACGCGCAGCTGCGATGAAGTAGGTTTTCCATGACAATTAAGGCATCGTTGGGAAGACCTTCTTAAAAATAGAAGGAAAGATAAAGAACCATATGCCTGTCCTTGTGTAATTTGAAGAAAAAAACGAAGACAGATATATGATTTAACTGTTAACTTACCTAGAAGTTCGAAAAATCGGTTCTAAATCTTAACCCTAAGTTTCAATTGTCTTCAGACAAAGGCTTAAGCCTATCTCCTGTGTCCTCGCATCTCTTTTTAATTACATCAGAATCAAGGAAATGTAGAGTAAGCGAATCTATTTCGGAACAGCACCTATTTCGAAACACTTTAATTTTTTTCCTGTGTTAGCCGTCAAATAATATCAAATTTTCACGTTAGTAATAAAGAACATCATAAATAAACATCGCAACATGAAAATAAAATATTGACTATAGAAAACAATTGATAATATTATGATTGAGTTATTGGATTTCGTGACAGCAAGTCTTCGAACGGGATAAATTACAATAATTACATATTTCTTTCATATTAAGCTTCGATTCTGTTATATTTTTGGGCTTAAACAAAACATCTTAAGATTCAAGAAAGATAACAGTTGCTTAGTTAGACTACGGGATTGTGCTGTTGTAAAATGTGGGTGTACCTAAAAATAGACATTTGTAGCCGTCGACGTTTGAGGTTAAGTCACAGGGCACTTGTATTTTATATCGTATACGACGTTTGTTTTGAATAATATATATATATATATATATTAGACATATAATATATATATATATTATTAGACATATAATATATATATATATATATATATATATATATATATATATATATATATATATATTAGAATATATATATTAGACATTTCGATGTTTATTGCCGATGTTTATATAAAGTACTGACAATATTTTTTTACTTATATAGAATCGTAATGTTTCTATTTTTCAGTTTTCCGACTGTACCTACCTCTAGTAGCAAAATTCATTGGCTTTACATTGGCTAAACATTGGTTATCTTGGGAATACATTGGCTAATATTTCCCAATATTCAGTCAATATTGGACATGGAATAATTAGAAATATATTACTAATATTGTATGTCAAATATTTACATAATATTGAATTTACATTGGAAATATATTGGCCAATATTTCTCAATATAAAATGAATGTTGATCTCAGAATAAATGTTAATCTATTGCCAATATTATATTTAAACATTTATACGTTATTTTATAATTTGTTTATTTAATATAAGCAATAAAAAAAATTTTTACTATACAAATTTTAAGACCGAAATGGAATGTACAGTGTTTCATAGATCTCACCTCACTAGTTAAGGTTTAAATTAACAATAAAAATACGAAAAATATAATTTTTATTCAAATTAAATTATATTATAAAAAAAAATTATATTACTGCGTTAATTACAACATATATAGATAAAATATAAGACGTTTATATTGATCGAAGAAGTGGTGTAGTGTCTAAAGCAATAGGCTCATAATCCAAAGGTGCCTCAAGTCCAAGTTCGAATTCCAGTGGTATAGCATGTTCGACTGGCTCTAGGTTAATCCACTCTGGATTATTCAGCCTACGTTTATTGGTCGAACAAGTACTTATAAGCTTTATGATTGGCTAGTAGAGACTTATAACGTCATTAATCGCTCTCGGAGCGATTAACCCAGTCGAACACACTATTAGTGAGAATTTTTAAATGTGATATAACATTTGGAATCAAGTAATCTTAAATTTCAAGTAAAGTCAGCAGACGCTGTGACTACCCAGATAACAATTCGTGCGAGCTCATATCGTCTTCACACGTGCGTCTCACATCGTGTCCGCACAGTCCCAGCGAGAAAGGTTACGTCGATTCGACGTCTACCAGACGTCTATATGAAACGTCTATTTACCATCTACGTCTAATCTAGATTAAGATCTATATCGACCTAAAAACGGTCCACATTTAGATGTCTAATAGACCTCCATTTCGACGTCTTATCGATGTCTAATAGACCGTCATTTCGACGTCTTATCGATGTCTTTTAGACGCTTTAGATATCTAATAAGTATCGATGCGATGTTTATTTAACTGCTATTTTTCTCTGGGTAAAAGCCCAGTGAGAAATGACTTATTGATCGATTTGACGACTTCGACGTCGATTCGACGTCTTTTCGACGTTGATCGATAAGTCGTTTCTCACTGGGTTGTTTCATAAAAATTCCTAATTTTCTTCGTGTCTTATAACTGCTAAAAACCGAAGATTGTCAAACACACGCTAAAATTTTCGCGAATCCTCTCTCGATAATTTCGAATCCGAAACGATCACTCATCCATTCTGACTACGTTGCTTAAGGGGGCTTTGACATTCGTTGGTTTCAAAAAATCGATTTTTTTTTACTTATTTTTATTCCTACATATGTGTAGAATATCTCTGTAAGAGGATTTTTAAAAATTCGCAATATTAACGGAGCTATGAGCTCAAATATATAAGGGCGCACGGGTTCTCCAAGCGCCTACCAGTGCAGAACTAATGCTATTCAGGTCACTATTCCGAAGATTTGTCAGATGATGCTTTGTTAACGCGATGTCTCGGGGGACATACACAAAATAATAACGAGAGTTATAACGGAGTTATAACGGAGTTCTCTGGCACTTTGCGCCGAAACATGTCTTCTCTGGTGCAAGAATTATATCTGTCGCAGCATTTTTGGCAACTTGCACATTCAGTGACGGATTTAAAAGTTTATTGAAAATAATGAACATATTGGAAATCTGTATTGGAATATTAGCGAATCTATGTGCCGAAGAAAAGGACAATCAACGCGTGAGACAGGCAAATCATCGCACGTCAAATTCATCGAAAGAAACCAG